ATCAGAAATTGTTTGCTGAGCAATGTTTAATCTTTCTGCAAGTTATTTTTGAGTTTGGCATATATCTTCATCCAATAATGCTTGTAATTATCAGTCTCCATACTTTTTCGGTTGACCTGGACATTCTTTTCTTTCACATTGAAATCATCAATTTTAAAGCATTTAAACCAGAGTTCACAAGTATCTTTAGATGGAGCATGTTCACCATAAGCTTCCTGAAGTATATGATAACTTTCAGCAGCACTTTTATTCAAAATAAAGCAATGAATTAAAACTTCCCACAAATGCTCTTTTTTTGGCATGAAATTTGACATTTTTAAGCGTAAAAATATCTATGATGTTAACACCTTCACTGAACCATGTCCAGCATGGCCAGGGATGAACCTGAGGAGGGGCAGTGAAGGATTTAAAGAACACAAAGAGAATACAGTTGGGGCTAGGTAGGTTCACTTGTTCCTGGATGAGGACACAGTGACCAAGCCTGACAGCTGAAGTTTTATTTTGTAGTCAGAGCACACAAAGCAAAACAAAGGGAGTGGTCAACATGTTTACAATATTCTTGTGAGTTTGAAATCTATATTGTTACTCAAGCCCTGTTTTGGCAGCACTTGCTGCACCTCCCACAGCTCATTAGCTACCTAGGAACAAGGGAGACTATAAGGTCAAGCTTAATTATGCTAGGAGGGCTCCACCCTCCAAGCTAGGACTTGTTTGTGGCCCTGCCACAGGTCAGTCTGAGGCTTGACTCTATAGCCACTCACTGCACTTCACAAAATTTGACAAAAGCATTTGTGTGTGTGTGTGTGTGTGTGTGTGTTTTTAAAGTATTACAAATAGTAGTAAACATGTCTCCTTTTTTAATCTCCTTGAACTTCCCCTGGCCTCCCCTACCCTCAGCACATGCCCTCACCCCCCACCCCATGTCTTTCAACCATTGGTTATGCTTATATGCATGCATACAAGTCCTTCAGTTGATCTCTTACCTCCCCCCAACCCTCTCCAGCCTTCCCGCTGTAGTTTGACAGTCTGTTTGATGCTTCTCTGCCTCTGTATCCTTTTTTGTTCATCAATTTATAATGTTATTTATTATCCATAAATGAGTGAGATCATGTGGTATTTTTCTTTCACTGATTGACTTGTTTCACTTAGCAAAATGCTCTCCAGTTCCATCCATGCTGTTGCAAATGGTAAGAATCCCTTCTTTTTTACTGCAGCATAGTATCCCATTGTGTAGATGTACCATAGTTTTCTAATCCACTCATCTGCTGATGGGCATTTAAGCTGTTTCCAAATCTTAGCTATTCTAAATTGTACTGCTATGAACACAGGGATGCATATATCCTTTCTGATTAGTGTTTCTGTTTTCTTGGGATACATTCCTAGAAGTGGTATTACTGAGTCAAACGGCAGTTCCATTTTTAAATTTTTGAGGAAACGCCATACCGTTTTCCACAGTGGCTGCACCAGTCTGCATTCCCACCAGCAGGGAAGGAGGTTATATTTTTCCCCGCATCCTCTCCAGCACTTGTCGTTTGTTGATTTGTTGATAGCCACTCTGGCAGGTGTGAGATGGTACCTCATTGTTGTTTTGATTTGCATCTCTTGGATGATTAGTGACTTTGAGCATGTTTTCATATGTCTCTTGGCTTTCTGCATGTCCTCTTTGGAAAGTGTGTC